ACAACGACGCCAAGTAGCAGGACTAGAAGTAGATAACGAGTATACAATGGACGCGAGGTGGTCCAACACACTATAATGGATGATAACTACATTTGCTTGAACCACTTTTCATGGTGTACAACTGCTGAGTCGATGATACAAACGCTACCATATGATGTAGAAACACAGGGGAGGCGGAGTACCATAAGCAGGGGGTTATGATTATATATTAACACTAATCTGCGAAGCTGGAATGGGCTCAACATCGACCTGCAACAGACGAAGTGAAGATCATCGAGTCAATTGGTGTATCAGAAGGTGGTACCCGGGGGCTGAGCTTCTTTGAGATGTCCTCGAGAGCTTGAGCACCAGTCCTCGACTATATAAGACTTTTAACGTCCTCCTCTGAGACCACTTTCCAAGTCGTTGTTGCTCTCACTGATAACAGACGTGAAGTCATCTCCTTGGTCACCAGAATCGCGGGGAGTATCAGTCGATCGTGACGCTTTATTGTCACCATTTCGACTTTCTCTCTGCCGAGTCCTCCTCTCCAACCGCCTCTTCTCAGCTCTCTGCCTTTTCTTGCGAGTCCACCACTTGCTCAGTCTCAAGTAAGGTGGGTCGGGGAAAGTGTGATCCAAGTCACCAGGGCTGGTCCTCACTGAGACCGACGTCAGTCGGAAAGAACGTCTTCTTTCGAGCTCAGCATCATTAGCCGGCTCAGCTGCTGTCGACTCCTCCCGACCGCTCTCTTCGATCGACCGGGTCGACTCCCCCTTATGAGGAGGATGGTGATGGTGATGATGTTCCTCCCTGGGCTCTATGACGAACCCGCCGAGATCAGCTCCCTCTTCCCGACGAATTTCCGCTGCAGCATCAACAGTCATTGCCGACATAATTCTGGTGAGAGTGCGCTGCCTCGTGACGTTGGTCCCACCAGGACTCCTCAAGCCACTTAGAGAAGGTGGAGGTGGTGGGGCGGCTGGGTCATCATTATCATACCTTACTAAAGCCGGGCCGCAGCCTTCTGATATCGAGTTAGACCGTACAGCGGAAGTCCTACGTCTCGCTGGTGGGGATAGACTCGAAGTATGATAAGTAAACTCGCCATCAGCGGCAACAGTAGCGTCAGAGCTCATCCTACCGACTCGCCTGGGGGAGCGCACAGGGTGCCGCGAGACAGGAGACAGGTTGCCTCCGTGTTGAGGGAGGCTAAGGTTGTTGCCGCTAACAGGAGTGCCGGGAATACTCACTGTACTGAGACCTGCCTCGCTGCGAGTGACTAGATTCTGACTACTAACAATAGAGCTTCGTCGTCTTGCAGCTGCCTCCTGATCATCCTCAGTGGTCCTCGGACTAAGGAGGAACACTCCAAAGAAGAGGACTCCAGTACCGCTGAAGAATACACCCAACTGCCACGATTGCATAGCCACAAATTCTTTAAATACAATACCACCAGATAGCATGGTAGAAAGGGTCCAACAAACTTGCGTTAGTGGTACCAGGAATGCTCCCGGGAATATTCTCAGCGCTCGGTTGAGATGAATTACCCAGAAAACAGCCGCGAAAAGCCATGCGAAGAGCACTAGGAATGTTCTACCCTGGTACAGCTGTGAAACTTGGCCACCGAAAGCCTGGGTCACGATGAGTGATAGCACTTTGCCCGACACCACGGACTGGGCCCCTACTGCTGCTACACAAAAGGTGTACCCGCTGGGGACTAGGAAGCGGGTAACTCTATTGTGGGATCTTGGCAAGGAGAGCTCCCACTGTATCCTCTTGGGCCATTTGGAACGAGTAAACCACAGAATGGGAGCACCAGTCCTCATCCAAAAGGCAAAAGCAATGAAGCATATAAGCAGCAACAATCCCAGCACAAAGTAGCCGTGAGTCGCCGAAAAGTAGAAATCGTTGAACATTTGGTCAACGTTGTTGATGGCCTCAGACTTGGTCGAGGATACCACCAGCATGACTATTGCTCCAATGATAACCACAGTACCGCAAACGTTGAAGACGGTGAAGGGTTCTTGGAGGAAGTAGTGCACGAAGAAGAGAT